TAGCTGCTTTCTTAGGTTTACAGACATTTGCAAATCATCTTAATAATTGCCAGATATTATTACGTGTGGACAATACAACTGCTATTTCATACATCAACCGAATGGGCGGAGTCCGCTTCCCACACCTTAACGAAATGACAAAAAAGTTATGGGAATGGTGTGAAGCGCGCGCAATATATGTATTCGCTTCATACATAAGCTCTGAAGATAATGAAATAGCAGATGCAGAGTCACGAAAAATTCACCCAGATTCTGATTGGGAGTTAAAACAGGCTGCGTATAAAAAAATCACACATGTTTTAGGTAATCCTGACATTGACCTGTTTGCGTCTAGAGCTAACCACAAATGTCGGAAATATGTATCTTGGAACAGAGACCCTGGGGCTTGTGCGGTTAATGCTTTCACATTAAATTGGAAAAAATATTTATTCTATGCGTTTCCACCTTTTGCTATTATATTAAAAGTTTTAAGAAAAATAATAACGGATCAAGCAGAAGGCATACTAGTAGTCCCTTATTGGCCTACGCAACCTTGGTTTCCTTTGTTCCAAGAGCTTCTGTGTTCTGAGATCGTTCGATTTAAACCCAACGATAATGTTCTCCTGTCTGTATCCAACAGCATACCCAAGCTGACGCTGATTGCAGGGAAATTATCCGGACGGCACTACTGAGGAGAAGCGTGCCGCCGTCCTCTTTGGATATCATGACAGCTTCATTGTCCAGTAATTCTTTAAAACAATATAACACTGCGATTCGTCGTTGGGTAAGCTTTTGTAAAGACAATTCGTGGGACGTATACGAAGCGTCAATTCCGCAGATACTTTATTTTCTTACGAAACTTTTTCATTCGGGGCTTCAATATGGATCACTAAACAGCCATCGCTCTGCTCTGTCCTTGATCTTAGGATCGAGAGTAGGATCAGATGACCGTATTAGCAGACTATTTAGGGGCTTTTATAGACTTCGGCCTCCTGCCCCAAAATATGATCTTACTTGGGACCCTTCGTTAGTGTTGAATTATTTGGCAAATTGGCATCCCAACACTACTATAAGCTTAGAAAAACTAACTAAAAAAGTTACAACTCTCCTAGTACTTACAACAGCACATAGGGTGCAAAGTTTGAGTAAAATTACGTTAAAAAATATAACAGCTAGTGGTAACATAATACTTATCAAAATAACTGACGTTATTAAAACTTCACGTCCAGGTGCTAAGCAACCCTGTTTGAGTATTCCCTACTTCAGAGAACGTCCAGAAATATGTCCTGCGGATGCTCTAATGACATACATCGATAGGACAAAATCTATTAGAAATAATGAGGATAATCTCTTAATAAGTTTTAAAAAGCCATATAAAGCGATAGCCACCAACAGTATTAGTCGATGGATAAAGGATATTCTATCTGAAAGCGGAATTGACACTTCTATTTTTTCTGCCCACTCCACACGGCACGCGTCTACGTCAGCCGCCCACAGAGCCGGCATCAGTGTTAATACCATACGTAGAACCGCCGGCTGGAGTGGCAACTCAACTGTTTTTGCAAAACATTATCATAGACATATTCAATCAGACCAAACGCCACAATTAGCTTGGTCAATCCTAAATGATTGTCGTTAAATTTTTCTTTTGTTTTTTATGTACAAACAAAAATAATAAGAAATCTAAGTTCTAATTTTGTTTATTATGAAGTTGATTTGTATAAGAAATATGTATTTCTCATTGTTAGTCTACTTAAGTTTATATGTATGTTAAGTTTATTAAATCTATATAAACTTAGATTGCACCAGTTAATATTTCACGCTTTCAAAATCTACAAATTATTACCTAATCTCGAAGGACGAAGCAACGAATGTATAATTAGTGATTAAACGAACTTACCTAAGTGATGTTCTATCACAATTATACGAGTTGCTTCGTCCGAAGAGATTAGGTTCCCTCCCTCCCTAGTTACAAGTAAGTATATACCCCCATTGGTGAAATATTAAATTCGATTTGAGCTCCAGACTTTCAACTAAATGAGTGGCCGGTCAACCAATGTTCCTAGTTGTGTTGCGAGTACCCTCAACATTTTTTTTTT